TTCCTGCTCTCTTTGAGTTCCTGTCCTGACTTCCTTCAATGATGAACAGAGATATGGAAGTGTAGCCAGGCTGGCCTGGAACTCACAGAGATCCGCCTGCCTCTTCCTCCTGAGTGCTGGGATCAAGGGTGTACTGTTTTTGTTTTTCTTCTTTGCTGTTTCAACTTTTGGTGTCATCTTAGAAATCATTTTCTAGTCCCAAGTCTAAGAATTTCACACTTGTGGCTGGGTGGTGGTGGTGGTGCATGCCTTTAATCCTAGCCCTCAGTAACCGAGGCAGGCAGATCTCTGTGAGTTCGAGGCCAGCCTGATCTACAGAGCGAGTTTCAGGACAGGTTCCAAGGTTACACAGAGAAACCCTGTCTTAACAAACAAGCAAAAAAGAGTTTCAAAGTTTTAGCTTGTACATTAACTCTTTATGTCCAGGATCCAGTTTGAAATCATTTTGTAAAGGAGTGCCTTAGTGACCCAACTTGATTCAGGTAGACACAGGTTTACTTTAACAGAGATAACTAAGGCAGTGTTCTCAGGAGGTGCCCAAATGCTCTCTGGACAGCTCTTCCTCAGCTGCAGAAAAGACACTACTCTGGCTGACCGATATGAGAGAACGAACAGAGAATGCTTGGGGGCCACTGACAGGCATGCTCCCTTCACACATCAGACAAATGCAACACAGCTGAGCTTGGGGAGGAATAAAGAACCAGGCTCACCACATGGTCCAGGCCAGAACCCCTGACTTCTGCCCATCTCAGACACTGACTGAACACCTAGTGTGCAGGACTCAGGATCTGCTGGCAAGCACAGGAAGGGTCCAGCATCTGCAGAGTGGGCATGAGACCTGGGTTCAGATCCCACAGCACATGCATATGCTCACAAGAGTGACATGCACACATAGAAAAAAGAGTTTTAAAAATCTCATCCTAGTTGTTAGAACAAAGGCTAAAGATAAACCAAAAAATTAAGATACAAGCCTGTGTCTGACCAGAAAGTGAAACAGAATAAAAGCAAGGGAAGGTGCCGGGGTGCATATAGCTCATAGGCCTGTACCCGGGCAGAGTGACCCGAGAAAACCCATGGCCATCCCTTCCCTGAAGGATCAGATTCCGGGCACACCCTTAGCTCAGCACGAAGTAGCTATGGACCTGAGAACACAATGTAGCTGGGACCCACCGAATGTAATCCCAGGACTGAAAGACTCAGCCCAGGACACAGTGATGGGGGAAGGAGGACAACCCAAGAGCCCATGGGCTGCTATGGGCAGACCTACAGTCCAGGCCGGGCCCTGTATCTCCTACCCAGTTCATAGCACCCATGACCTCACCCAGTCCCTGGCAGTAAAGGCTATAGTGGCTCTCAGCAGAGCCCATCACTTGCAGGGCTCTGGCATGGAAGGCAGCTGGTTCTTTCTTACCCAAGCACCTGACAGTCTTGTCATCCCTTAGATCTAAAGAGCGAGAAGAGTGGAGTCCCTCAACCCCATGGTCTAAGTGCTCATCTAGTTTTGCCCAATACCTTTTATCAGCATGTATAGGACTTATGAGTGACATTTCAACTCCAGCCTGGGGACATACCCAAGATAATTAGTACCCACTTAGCCCTTTCTACCCAGTAATTTATACAAATGGACTTGCTGAGATTATCAATAAAAATGATAAAGAGAGCTGAGCTAAGTGTCAACCACTGATTGATGGAGTAAACAATAGAGCTCCAGCCTGAGGGAGTTTATATAGCCCATAAAAATAACTAGAAGCAACAGTAGTCATTATTAGAGCATTAGCTATCAATCAGATAGCCGGTATAGCTTTGCACTATCTCATTTGAATCGTCTTTATAACATACGCAGTTCATTTTACAAACAAGAAAATGGAGGGGGAGACTTTGAAGGGGTTAAGCACCCACAGAAAGTCTACCACTTACTAGATAAAGGGAATCTCTGTGAGCCTCAATTCTCAAATCTGTAGAATGGGGCAACAACACAATACCCAATGAAAAGTCATTGTTTGATTAATTAATCACAACTGGAATTACTGGGGTTACTCCTATTGCACAAGAAAGGCCATTTTCTCCTGCTGTAAGCCACAGGTTCCAGGCACATCAGCTATTTGCCCCTAAACATTCCCTTGTCTGTTTCATTCACTGGTATCTCTTTTGTAAAGAGTTATTTTAATTTTGTGAGTGTTTATAATTGCACGAGTGGAGGTCCCTTTGCCATCAAGGAGGAGGTGTTGCCCCTGAAGCTGGAGCTACAGGCAGTTGCGTGTTATGGAAACAAACTTGGGTCTTCTAGAGGAGCAGTGTGAGCTGAGATATCTCTCTGATCCTGAACAGCAGAATTCTCTCCCCAGCTTTTTAAGGTGGGGATCTGGGACTGCCGGAATGCCATACTGGGACCCTTGCCTGAAATCATTTTAATACTTTAAAGCTACATAAGAAAGATTCCACCAGGTACTCTCTCTTCCGTCACTTCTCAGAATGGCTTAGGGGCCAGGCAGCTCTGTCTACCTACTCCTTCCTTACCTACCATTTACATGAATGCTGCCAGCAAAGTGGTCACTGGTGTCACACAAACATACAGGCTTATTACTATTCCTGTCAATACTGGCCAAGCTTGCCTTTGCCAGTAAGTTCTGGCAGGAACCTGTCCAACCACAGACAGGTGCCCCCTCCACTCCCCAAAAAACATTAAATTTCACAGCTTGGAAGACTATAAAATGGGGCAATTTAAATGCTGGAACATTCTGAAACTTGGGAGATCTGGGCACTTGCCAGAGGGAAGGAATTTGAGAAGTTCAAGGACACTGGGTTCTCCAAGGCCCAGGAAAGGAAGGAGGAAGCGAAACCCTTCACCACACTGCCTGTGGCAGTCCACAGTGAGGGCTCCATAGACAGCTGGATCCTTTACTACCAGAAGAAAAACCAGCTGCAGGTTCAGGCAGTTTGAATGGTCACTTAAGAAAGTGGAGGTTCAGGGAAGGTGGGGCCCACCTGTAATCCCAGGAGGTAGAGGCAGGTGGAGCAGAAGTTAAAGGTCATCCTCAACTATGAAGCAAGTTCAAGACCAGCTGATGTTACAGAAGACCTTGTCTCAAAACATATGTATTTTAGAAGGTCACATCCTGGGGTTTAGTCAGCAGGCAGGAAGCCCTGGGCTCTATTCCCAGGGGCAAAAGAAAAAAGTCCACAAATAGATGAAGACTCTTATATAATTTTTAAACTTCAGTCAAGTTTCAACATTTATAGATAACTACTCACAGAATCCACCCATCATGATAGGGACTCTGATTTTATGGAGACAAAGGAGTAACTGTAATGCTGGGGGTCAAAGACATGAGTCCTACATCAGCCACAGTCAGTCAGGCCCAGAGGACTTTGGCCCTTTCCTTTGCAGCAGTTTTGGAGGGGGAAACTGCTAATGAGAGGCTCTCTTCCACTTAGCGCTCCCAGGCCCTGCATGTGGTGTACGAGGAGACCCCTCTGCTCTCATGGGGGGGCGGGTGCTGCCAGGTAAACCTAGAGGCAGCCAAGGCAGAGCTGAGCGCACTTCCTTTCTCTCCAGTTGCAATCACAGCTGTGTGTGTGATGGACGAGGGTTAGGAAGAGGGCTGCAGAAAGAGGCCTCCAGAGCCCTCAAGGCATTACACCTCCACGAAACTTTACCTGTGCTGGGCTTCAGAGAATAAGCGCACTGCTGTGCATTCGGCTTCCTTAACTTAAACACGGGAAAGTCCTATTTATTTAAGGGAGTCATTTTCAAACCTTTCTTTTTGTGGTTCTGGGGAGTGAATCAAGCACTCTGCCCTGGCTATGCTCTCAAACAAACAAACAAAATTACATTTTATTTATGGTGTGTGTGTGTGTGTGTGTGTGTGCGCGCGCGTGCAATAAGAGAACAACTCGGCAGAATTGGTTCTCTTTCTCCACCACGGGGGTCTCAGATCATCAAGCTCTGTGACAGATGCCCTTACTGCCTGAGTCATCTGCTGGCCACAAACACCTTTTCAAAAACATCATTTAGACAATCTATGAGGCCACTGGCAGTGGGTCCAAGATCTAACTGTAACGCACAAACTGACTTAGTGGAACCCATTCTATATGGAGAGATACCTTGCTCATAGATACAGGGGTGCGGGGTGGGGAGGTGCCTGGGCTTGCCTCAATGTAGACTTCCCAGGAGAGGCTCCACCCTCTCTGAGGAGCAGATGGGAAGTGGGAGGGGGAGGGGAGGGGGAGAAGAGGAGGGAGGGGGAACTGGGATTGGAATGTAAAAGATAATTTAAAAAAAAAGCATCATTTCTGTCAATAAGATCTGTGTGTGCTCGTGGTGCCAGGATGGCACCTGAGCTGAGTGCACACTGGGGAAGCACTCTACTGTTCCTTGTAGAGGAAAGCTTGCACAGACGCTTACTGTGTTTACTATGTTGAACAGCTAGGGTGAGGCACGGTGACTCTGTCCTCTCTGCTACCCTCTTGACTTTACTGGGAGGGGGAGGAAGAAGAGGAGGGGAAGAAGCTTTGCCAAGACCGAGGGACACATCTGGTTGAAAGGAAAAGTGAGCATTTAGACCTGTCACAAAAATAAATGAATGCGGGAGAAAAGAAAGCCTTCAGTTTAATTCAGGAAGAAGTGGACTTGTGTGAGAGTGTCTGAGGCAGCGGCAAAGTCAAGGATGGAGTGAGAAAGGGCAGGCTGTGCACAAGCTTCATGCATGCAGACGGCACACGGTGCAGAGGACACCGCCGGCATGAAGAGAATCTCCTTACTCTTAGGGAACAACCTGGGATGTAGCCTACAGGGGATATGGTGGTGCCACTCGGTTCCAAATAACTGGGTCAGGCGAGGGTAGGGCAGTACGGCAAACACCAGCAGACAGTGGTTCTCAAACCAGGACCCCTGGAGGGGTCCAGTCATCCACAAACTGGCTGGAAACATAAACGCTTGGGCCACACCACAAGTGTACTAACAGCTGTGTAGGGGTGGGCTGGTCATACACTGTACAAACCTGAGTAGGAGAGCCCAGCAATTTCTATGAAGAGGTCTTCCTCGGAGAAGCTTTCCGGGAGCATGAGGCAGGCGGTTGTCACCGCACTCTTCAGGTTCTTATCCAGGGCCGATCTAAGAACCACATTCTCATTCATAGACACAATCTTCACCTGGAAAAGGCAGACCATTGAGAGGCAGCACTGCAGAGGCCGGTGTCACGCAGCACACACTGACTATCCCCTCTGCCAGCCACTGAAAAGCTAAGAACAGAAGTGACACGAAGCCATCATGACTCTTAACAAGAAATCCCAGAGTCTCCTGTCAAATGTCAAAGTCAGAGAAACTGTGACAAAGCAAAGGATCATAATTTCAAGGAAAATGAAAATGAATACTCTTATTAAAACTGATCTCATGTGTTTTGCCTGCATGTAAGTATGTGCACCGTGTGCATGCAGGGCCTGCCGAGGCCAGAAGATGGTGTTAGATCCTTGGACCTGGAGTTCCAGAGGGTTGTGAGCCCCCAAGTGGTTGCTGGGAATGAAACCCAGATCCTCTGCAAAGAGCAGTTTCACCAACCAACCCCCAAAAGTCTGCTGGGAAAATGGACAGAGACACTGCACACAGCCCAGGTTGATGGAAACTCTTTGGGTTTCTTATGCACGGAACGACTTTGTCTGGGTTTATCTTTTTAGGGGTTTGTTCTTTCTTCTTACTGCATTAATGGCAGTTTATCATCATGTTCTAATTAGACAGGCCTAGCCTGGAAATAAGCCAAACAGTCCCCCTTCCTTTCTTTTTCTTTTTTGAAGGCAGGGTCTCACTAAGTAACCTTGGCTGGCCTGGAACTTGCTATGTAGACCAGACTGTCCTCAAATTCAGAGATCCTCCTACCTCTGCCTTCTGAGTGCTGGAATAAAAGGGTGTACCACTATGCTCAGCTCTTTGATTTTGGATATAATTTTGTTATGTAACCCAGGCTAGCCTTGAACTTGTGGTAATACCCCACCCTCTCTGTCTTGTATGTGGTGAGATTAGAGGAGTGTGTAACCTGAGGTAGGAATATGTACAACACTCAAGGCACTTGATTCGACAGCACCTCTTCTACCCTCACAATGAGAACATGATGGGTCCGTAACTAAGCCTTTCAGTACCCGGTTAAGTTTAGTATCACTGCACTCACTGAATAAAAGTAAACAGTCTAAAACAGCCAAAGCCTGAGCGATGAAGCAACAGCAGAAAGAGAGTGAAGCCTATGCTCAACAACCAAGTTATAAGTGTGTGGCGTTTTCTTCATAGATTCAGTCAGTGAATCTATTCCTCATCTTTACAGATAACTAAAACAAACAAAACCTCCCTCCCTCCCAGTGCTAAGGATGGTCAAACCCCGGGTCCTCCCACATGGAAGGCACTTTACCCTTCAGCTCTGCTCCTCTGCCCCCACTTTAAGCTTCTAAAATAACTCCTATGCTCATTTCCTAACTTTCCTTCAAACATTTTAAGGTGTGTGTGTGTGTGTGTGTGTGTGTGTGTGTGTACATGCAAGGCTGTGAGCATGCTGGTGCTCGAGCTCACATATGCCCTCATGTCACAGTGCTATGTGGATATCAGAGGACAATTTGAGGGAGTCAGGTCTGTCCTTCCATCATGTAGGTCCCAGGAATCACACTTGTCCTTTACCTACTGGGCCATCTCACTAGCTCGCTCAAATCAAACCTTGCATCCCACATGAAACCATGGACCCAGGAAGGAGACTTCGTCATCTCACTAACGGGGAAACTGAGGGGCGAAATGGTTCTGCTGTCTTCAAAAGACGACCAGATCTAGTCGGCTCCTGAGTTGTCCCATGATGCCTTTCGACATCCACATTCTCATTCTCATCCTCATCTACCAGGTCCTTCTTAACAGTGCTACAACCCCTTTTGTGTACATTTCTGTGGCTTTTACAGAAACCCAGTGAAATCAGAAGCTATTTTGCCATGCGAATAACTAAAAGATGCAAAGAAATGAATAACCCTGGGCATCTTCTCCTGGTTAACAAAATAGCACTTGTTCTCTAAGAAGGCCCCTCTACTTGCGCTGTCACAGAGTAGTCTGCCTGCTATTTAAGATTAAGAGAGTGAAAATAAAAGCACCCTTACTCAAGGGGAAAAATGTGTGGATCTGGTTCTCCAACGAAAGGTGAACTAGGACCTCGCCTCTGTAGCTCTGCTATTTGTTGTTCAGAGTGAAAAGCCAGTGAAAGCTTGGGGCCCTGCCAGAGAGGCCTGGGAAAAGAAGAAAGTCCTCAGACTTGTGAATAGCTGTTTGTACCAACTGGGAATGCTCCGACCTGGACTGCACAGATGGCATTAGCAATGTGGACTGCAGAGAGGAGGGGGTGATGCTTGAAGGGTCTGTCAAAGAGGAGATTTGTGAGTATCTTTCAAGCCAAGAAAAAAGTTACACGAGGGACTCCAGTATAACACAGTGACAGGCAGGGAGAGAGACTCCTCGAAGTTCGGAGTGAACTTGTAGTCTTGAAGAACCCAGACCGGCAAGTCCTGAGACACTTAAAACCTTCCGATCTAAACCCCAGGGCAGGGCTGCTCTAAGAGGTCACTGCTTGGGGCCACAAGGCTGGCTGGACTTGGTTTACCACCTGCTGGACTAGGGGCTCTAAGAACAACTGATATGGGGTCTTACTTTTTTATTCCTTCAGCATGCAGAGGAGACTAGGCTGCCTCTGCGTGCCAGTCACTAAATGAATGGCTCAATCTTTGCATTTCAAAGGTGAGTTGTCCAAAGGCTGGCTTACAGTAGTGCAGAGCCAGAACTGGGGAACCAGGCCTCCCAATGACTCAGCCAGGCCTCTCCTAAACCATTGGAATTCAGAATGTAAATTAATAAGCTACAACAGGGATAAAAACACCTAAGTGTGAACATACTAGAAACTACACAGTTTTATGCTTTATACAGATGGGCCATGTGGCATATGAATTTTTTCTCAAGAAAGCTGTTATTTTTAGTGGGTGTTTTTTTTGTTTTGTTTTGTTTTTTTCTGTTTCATTTTTTTGTTTGCTTTTTGTTGATCAAGACAGGGTTTCTCTGTAGTTTTGGAGCCTGTCCTGGAAGTCACTATGTAGACCAGGCTGGCCTGGAACTCAGAGATTTGCCTGGCTTTACCTCCCAAGTTCTGGGATTAAAGGTGTGTACCACCACCACCCAGCTCTATTTTCAGTTATTTTTAATTTTTTGAGACAGTGTCTCACTGTGTAACCCTGGCTGGCCTGAACGTTAGAGAGAACAGGCTGGATTGGAATCAGAGATCTACCTGTCTCTGCCTCCTGAGAGTTGTGATTAAAAGCTTGTATCACCCTGCCTAGCTCCACTAAATATTTCAAATTCCATGATTCTTTACCAGAAAAAAAACACCTTGTTGTAGGGCTTGGGATATAGCTCTTTGTTGGCCTTCTGGGTTCCTTGTCCTGCGATATGCATGGGTAGGCAGGCAAGCCTATACCTACCTACACTAACACATTGAGATGGTAAGTGACTTAGAACTTAAAGCTCTCCAGGAAATAAAGCTAGGCATCTTTTCAATCATAAAACAAGCTGACAGGGAAGTAGGAAGCAAATTTTTTATTTAATTTTTTTCATATTTTTGAGATAGGGTCTCACTTATATGTCCCCTGGCTGTCCTGGAACTCATATTCACCTGCCCCACCTCTGAGAGCATCTACCACCTTGCCCAGTGAAAGTGTAATAAAATATAATTTACAGTCAACCCTTTCTAGAAATGTCCATTTTTTCAAATCCTTTATACTCCTTTTGAACACTTAGCTGTGCTAGTGGGTGAGAAGTCTCTTTTCAATTTGCAAGTCACAGATACTTCGGAAGCTTTAGACAATATAATTTGATGCAATGCTTGTTAAAACATAAAAGATGAGGAGTTCACACATTTCAAAATTCTTTTGAGACATTTGCTCATTTTGTGTAGAAGATGCCACCAACCTATCAGCTTTGCTCAATCATCACAAGTATTTGCTGCCACCTACAGGTCAAAAGTTTATCTGCGGCTTCTAATGGGGAGAGGCTGGCAGATCTATTCCTACAGGAGTGGGAGCCAAGGGAGGGTGTGGGGAGAGGGATGGGGTAGGGGGTGTTAAAGGTGCTCACTTACCATCTCCAATGATTTATTTAATTTTAATGTGCATGAGTAAGTTTTGTGTCCATTTATGTACATGAACCACATGTGTGCAAGGAAGGCCGGAAGAGGCCAGAAGAGGATGTTAGACCTTTGCATCTACAGTTACCAACAGCTGTGGCCACACACTTAGCTCACAGGAAGATCCAGGTGCAATCCCCAGCATAACAAACAAACACCGAGAACATGTAGGATGTATTCATTCCATGAGTCCACAGTAGTTTTGTTTTTTTGAGACAGGATTTCTCTGTGTAACAGCCTTGGCTGTCCTGGACTTGCTCTGTAGAACAGGCTGGCTTTGAACTCAGAGATCTTGCTTGCCTCTGACTCCCAATTTCTGGGATTAAAGGCTCATGCCACCACCACCCAGCTAGCATTTTTGGTTTCTAAAGGCTAGGTTAAAAAGCTTTCTTTAAAGGGCGGAGGCTGTGGCTCAACAGTCGAGGACACTGGCTGCTCTTCCAGAATGCTCAGGTTTGTTTCCCAGCACTCACATGGCAGCTCACAACTGGCTATAATTCCATTTCCAGGGGATCTGATGCCCTCTCCTGGCTTCTATTGGCACTGCACCTACGTGGTGCAGGGACACTGCATGAGGGCAAAACAGCCATTTACATAAAATAAAAAAATAAATCTTGAAAAGTATAGTACAGAGACTATTATGTTTTGATTCAATCTCTTTTTTACTTGAAAATAACAGGCAGCCAAGAACACTGGGAGGGAAACAGTATATTCTGTGTCTACTAAATCAAACACTTTGACTGACCATGGACGGACTATCCTGAGGTTGGTGTGAGACATGCAGTTAGAGGAGGAGTAGATATCGAAGACTAGAAGACTAGGTGTGCTGGGCTCTAAAAAGCTGTGTTCTTTTGAGCACACAACCCTTCCAGTTTCAAGGCAGGATTGCCACTCCCATTCTACAGATGGGTTAACTGAGATTTAGGGACAAAATCCAACTGTGCAAGTTCATATAAACAGCTAACAGTGGCAGAAAAGAGCAGGACCTAAGGCTTCTCATTTTACAGTCACTATTCACCCCATCAAGCTGCACACTTTGTAAAAACAAAAACAACCCTCCAATTAAAAAAACAAAACAAAACAAAACACCAAAATAAATCCTAACAACATTCATAGGTCTGGGGATGTCACCCAGACCACCTGCAAATCACTCTCTTGGGACTGGGCATGCTCGTGCATACCTGTAGTCCCAGCTACTCTGGGGAACACAACAGGACCATGTCTCAAGGAAAAGCAAAACAAACAATAGGAAGAAAACTTGGGAAAGAAAAATGTGTATTTCTAAACTTTCAACTCCAGTAATTTGCTTAATGTTGTGTTTTACTAGTTATAGGACCTTGGAATGATTTGTTCACTGTGATGGTCTAAAAGAAATGGCCCCCAAAGGGAGTGGCACTATTAGGAGGTGTGGCCTTGTTGGAGGAAGTGTGTCACTGTGGGGGCAGGATTTGAGGTCTTTTGTTCAAGCCTCCCTCAGGGTGACAGTCAGTCAACTTCCTGTTGTCTGCAGATGCAGCACACTCAGCTCCATATCTGCTGAAAGCCGCCATGCTCCCGCCATGATGATAACAACTGAATCTCTGAAACTGTAAGCAAGTGACACCAATTAAATGTTTTCTTTGTAAGAGGTGCCATGGGGGGGGGGGCTGGAGAGATGGCTCAGAGTTTAAGAGCACTGGCTGTTCCTCCAGGGGTCCTGAGTTCAATTCCCAGCACCCACATGGTGGCTCACAACCATCTGTAATGAGATCTGGTGCCCTCTTCTGGTGTGTAGTATGTGTGCATGCATATAATAAGTAAATATTAAAAAAAAAAAAAAAAAAAAAAAAAGACTTGCCATAGTCATGGTGCCCCCTTACAGCAATGAAAACCCTAAGACATCCACGACATAAAATTATTTCTTATGAATATCTGTGAAGCAATTTAGGTATGCCTGTTGCTCATGGACATTTACAAATGTTTTTCCTGGGATAGGGATGATGCTCAGCTGTAGGGTATTTCAACCAGCCTGCATCAGGGCCTGGGCTCCAATCCCAGGACACCCCCCTGTTCTAACTGAAGTAGAGACTACAGCACACACAGGGATGACACCACTTGTAAGGGTTTACCTAAGCATAACACGTGTAATATGCATACACATGTGTAAAAGGCACACAAATGTGTCATACTGCTCCAAATACACAATCATGGCCACATTAATGAGCTACACTACCACATTTAAAGTACAGGTTCTAAGATGGGAGACTCTTGAGAGTTCACATCCATCCATCAGAATCCCCCCCCCCCCCAGATACATAAATAAAAGAAAAAGGAAAGCCACCACCCCCAGCACCTCACTGTGCTCACCACCACGACTCTGGACTTGGCTGTTTATGATTTTGTTTTATGTGCACCAGTGTTCTGGCTGCATATATATGCATGTGCCTGGTGTTTGACAGAAGACAACTTTGATTCCCTGAAATTGAAGTTATAGATGGTGTGAGTAACCATGTGAGTGCTGGAAACTGAACTCGATTCTCTGGAAGAGCAGGTGGTTCTTTACCATTGAGTCACCTCTCCAGCTTCCTGCTTAAGGAGGGTCTGTTATCTGAGCATGCCCGATGAACTCATAGCCATTTCTGGTAATTCCCTCACCTTCCTGGAGATGGAGAGCCCTCTCACCACACGGTTGGTTCCTCTGGTAGTCAGCCCTATCCTGAAGTTAAGCAGAGGCTCAGCCAGAGTCTCAGGACCTGGGACTGTGGCTCAGTGGTGAAGCCCTTGCCCCTTTGTTCCATCTAGAAGTCTAAAGGTTTTAGGAGCTCTCTCCCAGGAGCCAAGACAAAGCCTACTATATGTCTTACACACATATTACATGCACACAGATGCATGTGTACACATTATGCACAAAATCTCCTCTTATAACACAGCATCACAGAGTCATCTCTTTATACTGTAGATGGTGAACTACTGACATTTCCATTTTCTGGGATTTCTTATCTATGAGCTCACAAAGATCAAAATGAGTTCTAATTCAGAGACAAGGGGCTATGCTAACTGTGGTGGCATGAAGGACACAGACTCACCGGCTTTTGGAGGCGTCCTGCGATGTACAGATTATTCCAGTTCAGGAGGTCATCAATTAGGGTGCCAGTGGAAATAACCCCATATTTGATAAGCTGCAAGAGAAGACATGATCATGACAAAGAACAAACCACCAGGCTGCTGAATCCACAGGCAAAAATGAGGGAAGGGCTAAGGTCTTATTCAGGAACAGGATGCTGATCTCCTGAGTTAAGCAACTTAAAATACCTACTCTTTGGCCAGGCATTGGTGGCAGAGGCAGGTGGTTCTCTGTGAGTTTGAAGCCAGCCTGATCTACAGAGTGAGTTCCAGGACAGGCTCCAAAGCAATACAGAGAAACCGTGTCTCGAAAAACCATCACCAAACAAACAAACAAAAAATATACCCTTCAAAAACCGATATCTTGCTGAACATTGATGGTACACATCTTTAATCCCAGCACTTGGAGGCAGAGGCAAGTGGATCTCTGAGTTCGAGGCCAGCTTGGTCTATAGATTGAGTACCAGGATAGCCAGGGCTACACAGAGAAACCCTGTCTCAATAAACAAACAAATAAACAAACAAACAAACAACCCAAAACCAAAGAAAACAAACTAAAAAAGAAAACCCATTATCTCTATCAAAACTGCCCAGAGATTTAGTGTCAAGACTGACCTGGCTCCCAAGGTACAGGAAGTGAGGTGGCCAGTATTTTTAACGTATAGGATTGTTAAAGGCAGAACAGCTCTTAGACAACATTTAGTATCAGTCCTCAATGCTAGATCCTTCCAATTTCAGAAACGATGATTTAGATAATGTTCCTCATATGAGAAATAAGAAACTGAGTGCCAGGGGCCAGTGAAAGGGATCAGTAGGTAAAGCTGCTTGCGACCAATCCTGATGACTTGAGTGTGATCCTAGAATCCATAAGATGGAAAGAAAGAACTGAATCCCACCAGTTGACTTCTAACTGAAAATCAATCTCCCCCCCCCCCACACTGTAAATCTTAAAAAGAAATTTGAGGTTCAGCAACAGTAAATGATGTCACAGTGTCACTTCACCAGTAGATTGAGAGCTTGGTCCTGTAGCCAGGCACAGCAACGCATGCCTCCTAGGTCCTACAGCTGGGCACAGTAATGCATGCCCACAGGCCTGCTATCCCAGAGCCTGGTGGAATGCTAGATTGTTTGAACCTAGGAGTAGTTTGGGGACAGCCTGGATAGCAAAGTGTTTCAAATAACAGAAAACCCTGAGGGCTTTAATATTCACATCCTAGAATCGCAGCTTGATCTTCCCACATTCTTTGCATTACAAAATATCAGAAATTCTTCAATTAAAAGCTTTCACTGGCCTTTTCCCCATAGTGACTTTCAGCGCTGTTGACTTCTTTAAGTGGTGACAATTACAAGTGAATATCTGAAGATGAAAACCCTCTTACCAGTGTTAAGCACATGGAATTAAAGAGGAGGCCATTTCCACAATAATTTTATAAATCTCTAATGTGAATTCCCTAGCCACACCCTTAATCCCTTCTCCTGTCATTACACCAACCTCCTGCCCTTTACAGCCTGGTCCTTTGACCAATTGTAGGATCATTACCTGGGGGCTTGTCAATATGCAGAATGTCAGGTTCCATCCCAGACCACTGAATCTGGACCTGCATTTTAACATGATCCCCAGGAGACTCACACACCTGTAAAGGTTAGACTACCCTAAGCAACTGACATTAGCATCAGCACAGCAAACCCACAGGTCATCTTGGCTTGACTTATATTCTACCTCCCATCTCCCCAGAAGCCCTCTGAGAAACTAGGATGCTTCATTTGGTTTGACTCCTCTCCATGCTAGGGAACAAACCCAGTACCTAGGCAAGTATGCTCTGCCACTAAGTTATACAGCCAGGGCCTGTATATGTAGGATTCCTGACATAAGACAATCTATGTGTGTGGGGCGGGGTGTCTAAACATCTTACCTGACTTCTAACATGCAACTTTCAAATCCTACCCACCCGCTGACACCCTTCCATCACCGGACACCGTGTGCTCCCAAGGCATCAGGCATCCTCTTCACTTCCTGGTAGTACCTGCTCCTTCATCTAGATGACATGACTCTCCACCGTGATCCCCAGTGGCCCACTGCTTCTCCACGCCAATGAATCCCTACCCAGGACCCACTGAGCAGTGTGGCCAACAGATTAAGACCTGAGAACTACTTGGCCAAAGGACAAAAGACAAGACAAAGTCCAGTCACTGGCAGCCACCTTCATACACCCCAGCCACAGCCTGACAGATGGTGTAGTTCTGCCTGTGCCTGGGTTTAAGAAAGCTGGACCAGGTGTGACTGTTTCCTGAGAATGTGGACACACCTATTTCACCAGGGTTCTTCTGCCAAATTACAACCACCCAGTTAGGGCCAAGGCCCGAAGGCACTAACCTTCCCGTCACACATGATCAGCGGGTTGAAGTAGACCCCAGCACCATAGTTATTCTGGACCGAGGAGATGATCCTGGGCCCCAAGAGTTTGAGGAAGGAATAGTGGCTCCAATTCTTCTTCAGGTTCTTTTCGTGCCAGGCGACAGGGTCATCTACTGTGAACACCAAGTCTAGCATGGGATTCTAGAAAGTGAAAAAACAAGAAAATGTTTAGCACTAACACTTGAGACACTAGAGAAACAACAGGAAATTCTAAAGTGCTACAATATTACATGTCATGATCAGAAGACCCAGGGCTGTCATCACAAACCTAAGCAGGTCCCACAAAGCAATGATGCTAACTTGGCTTTCATCCATACAAATGATTACATCACACACTAACTGCCGGCACTCATCTGATTGCTTGACATACAATGAGTCAGTTTATCTCCAAAACAATCCCACAAGGCAAGTATGTTAGTCCAACTGTATAGCAAAGGAAACGAAGGAACACAGAAAGCACTTTGCCCAAGGGTGTAGAGCCCAAGTGTGGCAGACCCAAGGAGAGGTGGCTCGGTGGTTAAGAGCACTGGTTGCTCTTGCAGAGGACCTGAGTTCCATGCCAAAAGCACCCACATGGTGGTTCACAACCATCCGTGACTCTAGTTTCAGAGGACGAATGCCTTCTTCTGACTTCTGTTGGCAACAAGGCCTGAATGTGGTCCACATACAGTCACGTGGGTAAAATACTCATATACATGAATAATAAATCTGAAAAAATAATTTTAAAAAATCATTAAGAAAAAACAAACAACAAACAAAAAACCCAACAAGCTCTGATAGGTTTCAAGGCAGAGATCTCAAGAGTCACCACAGCAGATAGACAAATTATGTCCAAAGTGACACTATACCAACTTCACTTAGGACTAATTAGAACAAGAGAATAGGGAAGACGGATTTTTCTTGGATGGGATACATGAGTTCTAAAGAATGTAAGAGAGAAGCACAAGATGGAGAAGTAACCAAGAAAGCATGGAAAAAGGTAGTCAGGGTAGAGGAAACTGCTCCCCACAGGCTAGTCAGCCAGGCGTGCTCTAGGATCTGCAATTTGATGCCAATATAGCACAGACATTGTACTAAATGAGACCAGGGAGATTTCCCACACTGCAGAATTTTCCAGAGTAGCTGAATGGAGGGAGGAGAGGTTACAGAGGAGGAAACTCTTACAGAGAGCAACTGAAAGAGTCCACTAAGAAACAAGTTGGTGTCATTAGCTAAGGCACAGACTGAGCTGGAGAATACACCAGACTTCTCAGCATGAACATAAAAAATAGAAATGAAGGAGCAAGAAGGACCCTTCCTAGGAGAGAACCCTAGGTTAGCTCAAAGGAAAATCTCATGGAGTACAGGGCAGCTGTCAGGACGCTAAAGAATGCTAAGGGTTTCCCAGGGCAACCTCAAACCATTGGTGATATTATTTAAGATTTGGAGCACCATTTTGCGTGTGTGTGTGTATGTGTACAGATGCATGAGTCCATGTATTTCCAGGCCAGAGGATGCTGGATTCCACTCTCAGATGACATCCACTTTGTTTTTCTGAGATGGTTTTCACTGGCCTGGAGCTCGCCAAGTAGTCTAGGCTGGGAGCCAGCAAGCCTCAGAGATCCACCTGCTCTGCCTCCCTAAGGCTGGGATTACAAGTGTGCAGCACAATGTCTGTCTGATGGACAACTGTAAAAAGTAATAATTACGATAATGTCTGCGTGGCCAAGTTAGAGAAAATAAGTAGGAGACAGAAGAAATTCTAGCAACACCACAAAGTGAACTTTAACCCAAAGACAGATCTGGCCAGGTGCTAACCCCAGGATGCCTTACTGTAATCTGTATGTTTAATTCTGCAGATCACATTCAGACCACATGCACTGCTGTTCTCAGTCGACTCTGAAAAGCAATAAGGTTCACTCTTAACTAGACTCTTGTTAAATGTGTTGGGCTGAATAAATGCGGTGTCATCTGCCCCGGCCCTACATCCAGCTTTCTTGAATCATTTGTATTCTCTAATCTTTAGAATTACACTGCCCAAGTCCAAGCCTCACCTAAGCCAACGAAATCAACCTGTAGACAAAAACCAGTCTTTGTATTTGTAAAAAAAAAAGCACTGGAGCACTCTGAAAAGGCTGAAAACACTCACACAGGACCGGCTATTTCCCCCCACAACCTCTTCCTAACAGGCCCCGATTTAGATGGAAGTAGATAGACTGCTTATTCTCCACTTACCATATCAACTTAGGCCGGTGAGATTGCTCAGATGGTGGCACTTGCTGCCAAACCAGATAAACCGAACTCAATCTCCCCAGGACCCACGTGGTGCAAGGAGAGCACCAACTCGCTCAAGTCTTCTCTGACCTTCAAGTGTACGCTGGTTATGCATGTGCGCTTGTCACAAAGCCAGCAAGTACGTAAACGTAAACATACGTATTTACTGGGCATGGCTGTACAAGTCTTTAATCCCAGCACTGTGGGTTCGAGGCCAGCCTGCTCTACATGGTGAAGTCTAGTCAGCCCCGACTTGGAAAACCCACTTGAGCTCACACAGAGGTCACTTTGGTAGGATGACCATTTTACTAGTTGGAAGCTGGCGTGTCCGGGGCTCTGCGGGGACGGAAGGCGCAAGGGAACCGGAGAGGGCGAGCAGATACCAGGTCTAAGGCTGGTCGGGAAGGCGCAGGCTCGGAACTCACCTGCTGGTGTGCACTGGGTCCTGCCTGGCGGTACACTGCCGAGCCGTAGGCAAAGGCCAGGCTCAGGTCCTCGGGGAAGTGAGCCAGGATCCTGCGCAGGCCTACGCCCGAGCTCTGCAGCGCCTGCACCGCCATGGGCTGGCGGACACGCCGGTACAGTAGAGGGTGTAGCGCCTACACCGTGCTCGCAACTCCGGGTCGTGAGCACCGCGCTTCCGCCTGGGCCCCGCCCCTCTACGCACGTGCGCTTCAGAGCTGGCAGCTGGCAGCCTGCGGGGAGGCTGGGCTCCGTCGCGCCCTCTGGCGGGCGGAGGAGCGCATTGCAGGCCCATCCTAGGACTGCTAACTGCTATAGAGCCTTGCAAAAGCCTATGTAACATTCAAGCCACGAACGATTCTTTTAAATATTTATTATGTATACAGTGCTCTGCCTGCATGTATGCCTGCACGCCAGAAGAGGGCACCAGATCTCATTATAGATGGTTGTGAATAACCATGTGGATGCTGGAAATTGAACTCAGGACCTCTAGGAGTGCAGTCATGCAGTTAGTGCTCTTTAACCCCCTTTTTTTTTTTTTTTTTGTATTTCCCAGGAATGACTTTTAAATCATGAGTATATTGTGTAAGTTTTTTTTGTCTGCTTGGTTTTTTTTTTTTTTTTTTTTTGAGACAGGTCTCATTATGTAACTGGCCTGGAATTTGCTATGTGGACCAGGCTGTCATCAAACTCACAGCCATCCACCTACCTCTGTCTCCCAAGCACTGGGATAAAGGCACAGGCTACCACATTCACAATTCTGTGCAGGTATCATCTCTACCTCTAAATTGTAGACTTTGAAGATTAAGGGGAAAAAATTAAAACTTGACCACTCTACCACCAGGAGATTGTAATTGTTAGAAACTGGCCATAGTTTCTTCACATTAAAAGTCCCTTTGAAGTCCGATAGTAGATAAAATGCTCCATAAATGTTGGACAAACATTCCCTCATACTTTCGTTCAATTTTAGGATCAGAGAAGAGTTTGTGTCTCTATGGGGATGGTCTCACAAAGGGCTCTTTAATTTACATGCCTTTTGTGGAGAAAGTGGGATCGGGTAGAAGATACATACCATAGAGTTCTTTACTCCATGGGAGAAACTTGCTCAAGCCCGCAGGAGCCTTCAGGACATGGTTGAGCTCCCAGACCCTTTGAGGCTATGCTTTCTTCTCTAATTGCACTGCCTCTCAAAGATCATCAAGGCCACCTGCAGTCCAAGCTGCTTGTGAGGCTAAGACCAAGGTGGGGTGGGGTGTGGTGGGGTGATGGGGTAGGGTAAGGTGGGGTGGTGGGGTTTTGGGGTGGGGTGTAATGTGTGTGTGTGTGTGTGTGTGTGTGCAAGCTTTAGCCACATAGTGAGTTTTAGGTTGGACTAAGATATTCTGAAAGATCCTGCTCTAAGGGAAAATGGCAGCAAACGATTAGGGCTGGGTGATGTTGCTCAGTGCTAGGGAGGTTGTTGAGCATGCCCAAAGGCCAGAGTTCCATCCCATGCACAGCAAATGTCAACATACCAACCAATGGGGCTGGAAGTGTGGCTCAGTGATTAAGTTCCTAGTACCCACACGGTGGCTCACAACCATCTGTAACTCCAGCTCCAGGAGATCTCATATCTGATTCCTCTTTCTGTGCTCTGAGGGCGCCAGACATGCACAAAGCATACATACATTCATGCAAGACGGTGATCACTCATACACATAAAATAAAAATTTAGAGCATCAACCGCACTAAGGGGTCAGGGAGAAGGTCCAGCTAGAAAAGTGTTTATCTGTGCAAACATGAAGACCAGCACTTAGATCAGAACCATGTAAAGCCAGATGTGGTGGCCCAAGTCTGTAACCCCTGAACACCTATGGGGAGATGGGGGTCAGAAACAGGGAACAGCTTGAAGGGTGGCTGGTTTGTGGTACATACTGGGGGACACCCAGAGACCCTGTCTCAAACCTACACTGGAGGTTGTCCTCTGACCTACATGTGTGTGCCGTGGCACTTCTGTATGCATATGTATTTGCGACCATGTGCACATGCGTGAGCGCACGCACGCACACACACACAGTAGTAACATTGTCTCTGTCTTATAGGTGAAGCTCAAGAGAGAGCAACCTGCTTGAACTCACATATGTGTGCAGTCTCAGGCCTGGCTGCACGTCAGGGTCTCTCTTATCCTCGTCCATCCTTGAGGGACTTGGAGCAGTGTGGTCAAGAAACCAGTGAGAAGAAGAGGCAGGAAACTGGAGACCAAGCTCTTGCTACAGGGTCATCATGAACTAAATAAACAATGGCCAGGACCAACAGGGCTGGGGATAGAGGCCTGAATGGCTCAGATTCGTTCAACTGGAAGGACAGTTACTTCCATTCACAGTCTCCACACTGCTGTGAGGTTGGTGCTGAGAATGTTTCAGTGATTGGAGCTGCTGTGCAGGAACCCGGGGTCTGTGGCAGGCAGACAGTTAAGCATCCTTCCAAGAAGGGTACGCGGAGCAGCTCTGGGGGAACAGGGGCAGCAGAGGAGGAAGAGTAGGCCACAAAGCCAGGTCTTGGAATGGCCTGTGGGGTTTCGGCAGGAATGGGAAGAAGTCAGCTGGGTGGAACCCGTGAGTGTACTTTCATGAGCAGCATCATGGAGAGGGAGAAAGGCAGTCAAGAAGCGGGGCTTCAGGCTCCCCGAGGGGCAGCAGGCATTTTGATTCACGATGAAGAACCCTCAGCCTTGCTCGGGTGGCTTGGATCTGAGACGCACTCACCATGGAAGTGCACAGAACCTTCCACCTAGAGTCATCTTCTTTCTCCCCTTGAGGAAATAATTCAATATTCCTCCCACCCCTTCCTTGGCAAGAGTAAGGCATGCTCATAAAAATGTAAACATTACAAACTATGAATCTCATCCCCCCTGAGGTAACCACTGGTAATCCTCAGTACATGTTCTTCCAGATATTCCTATGAATATATTGACATTAAAAACATTTTTAAATGGAATCGGATGATGGATATTATTTTTCAATTTGATTTTTTTTCACCACCTCACATATCAAGGGCATCTTCGTCAGAGTATACAGATTTACTTCATTCCATTTACTAGCAGAGAATTATTCTAAAATATGGATATGCCATATTGATGGACTTAGATTACTTCTCTTTTCATTTTTGCAGTCCTGGGAGTGGGGGTGGAGCCCAGGGCCTTGCAGGAACCATGCAACAATGCAACACTGAGCCAAACCCCTGCCCCATTTCTAGGTTTCACACGTGAAAACGGTGCTGCAGTGTACATCTTCTTGGCTATTTGTTTAACAATGTTTTTATGTTTATGTGTATGTGGAGGGGCACATACATGCTATGGCATGCCTGTAGAGGTCAGGGGACAATTTGGAGGAGTTGGTTCTCTCTTTTTCCAAGTGGATTCCAGGACTCGGACTCAGATCATCAAGCTTAGTGGCAAATGCTCCTATCTGCTGGGCCATCTCTCCAGCCCTCTGGGTATTTCTTTTTATACATGCCAAGTATTATTTTGATGTGAAGTTGATTCCCAGGACTGGCAGGGTGACCCAGCAGGTAAAGGTGCTTGCTGTGAAAGCCAAACAATCTGTGTTCAATTCCTGGAACCCGTAGCAGGATGGAGGGACAGAACCCACTCCACAGAAGTTGCCCTCTGGCCTTCACACACAAGCTGTCACAATGCAGCCCACGTGCATAGCACACAGACACAGTGATAATTAAAGAGCTTGTTGCCCAGGAGTGGAATCGCTGCGTCTAAGTGTCGGCACATTGCTAAATCCCCCTGCAAAAGACACATGAATTCACACAGCCACCGATAGGGCTCCGTCCCTGACAGAAATAAAGAATCTATAATGCGTCACCATTTTCCTCCCTTACAGGCTCTTACATCTAATTATCAGTAATTTTCATTCTCCCAACACACTCCCGCCTGCTAACACAAAACCACCAGCTGGAAAGTTCCATCCCACTCTCTGTGTGTGTGTGTGTCTGCCTCTGCCTAGGCAGAAGCAGCAGCAGAGAACGCATTTGTTTTCTTCAGCAGAAATCCCCCTGCTCCCTTCAGCTCATCCGCTCTCTTCCAAATTACTGTGGCTCACTGCACTAGGAGCTATTAAAAAGCCCTCGTGCTCTATCTAATAGCTCCAAGGTTCTATTGGAAAGCTCATGCCAACGAGATAAAAATGTTTGAGAGCCATTTCCAAAGATAAATGGCACTTGATTTCAGCGAATGCTGGGCCTCACTACCTAGCTTCTCTAGCAGGTGTCTCTGTGTTCCTTAACAAGGATGCTGCCAGGGTAGGGTTTGCCTGGAAGATTCACCCCCCACCCCAGGCTGTGTGTTAGTTCTCTGTATGATGCCGGTACCTTATCGGTCTTGGTTTTTCTTTCCATCAGTATTTTAAAAGAACAGAAAAAATAACTGGGGGAAAAGTTCTGGATCTATTATTCCTTCACTTTTTTCTGTGATGTTGGGGTTGGAACCAGGGTCTCACACTCTGCTATTGAGATCTGGGGCCTGGAGTGTTTTCAACTGAATCGTTGGTTTAGCCATCTGCTGACAAAAGCAGAGAGGGGTCTTGGTCTTTCTTTCTTTTTTCTTTTTAAATAAGGTGTATATTCTTTTTTTTTTTAATTTTTAAAAATCATGTGTGTGTCACTTCATGTGTAGGAGAAACTACGGCCAGCCTACCCAAGCTGCAGCTGCCCTGCCCAGGTGCTCAGGCACAGCAGACACTTCCTCTTTGAGCCAAGCCTGCCTCTATGCCTGGAGACTGCTGATGAAGAGACGTGTGGCCAGAGACTCCAATGATAAAAGGACAACACAGCAGAGTCAGCGCCTGAGCCAATGGGACTGTGGGAGGGGTATAAAGGCAGGCCTAACTTCCTTAACAAACGAGTCCACAGTTACTCACTGACACCCAGTACCTGAGTCATTAGAGCTGTGTCTTCTCACCCCCTCCCACAAGAGGTGTCCAAGCGGGGTCACCCACAACATTCATGTATGTGTATGCACGTACACATGTGCCCTTGGAGGCCAGAAGAGGGCCTTGGATCCCCAGGAACTGGAGTCATAGGCAGTTGTGAGCTGTCTGATGTGGGTGATGGGATCTGAACCTACATCCTCTGGAAGAGAAGTGTGTGCTCTGAACCGCCGAGCCAGCTCTCCAGATCTTAAATGGGTACACTTAAAAACAAAA